GCCCTGGCTAGGATCGAGGGGCGGCTCTCCTCCCCTACAGGAGGTTTCCTCTAACGCAGAAGGGAAGGGCTCCTCCAGGGAGCCCCCGTGGCCCCCTTGCCCTCCAGGCTGGCCAGAGGAGGTTGACGGTGTGTCCATTCCAAAGGCGGGGGTCTCCCAAGCATCTGGTGTGGGGAGAGGCTCTTTCCCAGTCTCTGCTAAAGACTTGGTGTCTCCTGGGGTATAGCTCTCTGGCAGGTCCTCCCAGCTGGTCTGCCAGAAAGGTGGGGCACTCTGGAGCATCCGCTGGGCTGCCTTTTCTTGCTTCCCAGTTTCCCGGAAGCGCAGGATGGTGCTCCTGAGCAGGGCATATTTGTGATAGTCATCGCACAGTGAAGATAACTTTGACTTGGCCAGCGGCAGCAGGTAGAACTGGTGGAGGTAGAACTGGAGCTGGTCTTTGGCCTCGTTGGGTCCCTCCTCGGGGGCTTTGCGCTTCTGGCCACGAGACATGGTTTCCCTGGAGCAAGGAAAGACACCGTTCAGGATCGGGTGGCCAGGGGGAGAACCCAACATACACCATGGGGGAATCATGGGGCTTCTGCATCGCGACATTCTGCAACGCTAGGGGCTCCGACGTATCTAGGGAGGAACTCAGTTTTGCCTGGCACCCCATCTACCTCGGGGACTCACCTCTTGGAAGCAGGAGGGCAAAGCCCTGCTCAAATACCCCAAATATTTAGGAGTATTTGAGCAGCACTTTTAGGACCTTCGCTTGCTGTTTTATTGCAAGATGACCCTTCTGTGGGCTTTCAGGAGCAAAAAGGGGGGAAATACATTTTTGCACCTTTTAAAAAATGTGTACCATCTATCTGTAAGCTCCATGAAGAGAGCCCATGACGAGATCCCCCCCCTTCCCCTCTAACGAATGAGCAACTATCCTTCCTCTCAGCAAACAGGAGCACAGAGGTGTTGGCACGTTCATGAAGGGCATGGGAGGGACCCCGAGGTTGGCAGAAACGCTTCGCCTCAAGCAACTTGCTTTGGGCAAGGGGAGCGGGTGGGGGGGGGTAAATGGATTGATCAGAAAGTTAAGATCACCAGGTAACGGGATTGACCCGCCTCCGCTGAGCAAAGAGGCTTGGAAAACACGTGCCCAAGTTGAGATCACAACTGGGGATTGAGTGGTTTAACAGACCCGGCCAGATCCAACCTGGGCACCGCCCCCACCCAATACACACACAACACTCCCCTGCACCAGGGACGAGACTGTGCGAAAAGCCCCTCTCCATCGCCAGCTAAATTAGCAATTAGAAAGCGCGCGAAACCCGCTGAAGCAGGCAAGGGCTCTGTCGCCGGCCCCCACCTCGCCCTGATTCTGCCCCGGGGGCAGGCTCGCCAGAGGCCCCAGCACCCCTCAAAGCCCGCCTAGGAGAGAAACGATTCCTTCTCACCGAATGGCCGCCGGCTTGGTTACCAGCGTCGAACAAGAAAGCCCACCTCCTAAAAATCCCGCTATATCAGAGGAGAAGTCTTCTCCCCAGGTAACGCCACCCCGAATCTGGCCTCAGCGCCCCGAAGGAAGCCGCGTCCGAGGGAGTAAAGCCACCGCTCGGAAGAGGTGGCTTTCTTGGGGAGAGGGGGGACGGGGGGTGTTCGGACCTCCCATGGAGGTGGGAGGCCCCTCCGACTGCCAAGGGGCTTACAAGAGAGCAAACATGGCGAGGATCGTGCCATTACAAGGAAAGGAAGAGGAAAGGATCCTGACCCATCGAGCCGGGGGTACAATGGCCGCCGGCTTGGTTACCAGCGTTGAACAAGAAAGCCCACCTCCTAAAAATCCCGCTATATCAGAGGAGAAGTCTTCTCCCCAGGTAACGCCACCCCGAATCTGGCCTCAGCGCCCCGAAGGAAGCCGCGTCCGAGGGAGTAAAGCCACCGCTCCGAAGAAGTGGTGCTTTTTTGGGGACGGGGGGGGGATCGAACCCGTCCATGGAGGTGGGAGCCGCCTCCGACTGCCAAGAGGCTTACATGAGAGCAAGCCGGGCGAGGATCGTGCCACTACAAGGAAAGGAAGAGGAAAGGATCCTTACCCACCGAGCCCGGGATAGAAAGTCGTCCGGCTAAGATGGAGAGGCAGCTGCGGCTCTTTCGAAGACTCTCTCTGGGCGCGATCCTCGTCCTCTTTGCCTCCGGAGCGATGGACTGCGCGCTCCACCCCGGCCCGAATCCTAACCTTTTCCTATTACTGTACCCGGCTTCGCTTCAGTCTGAGCAAGATGTAAGCGAAGCCGCGGCCAGATTTGAAGCGAAATGAGGGAGATGAGGGGCTTCGCCGCCATTGGTCGGCTCCATGAAGGACGCCAGCTCATTGGCTGGGTGCTTACCTGGCCGGCGCTCAGGTACAGCCGGGTCCCTGACGCGCTGCCTCTAGGTGGCGCCGCAGCCTTCCCCGCTCAGGACGCCTGGGTCCCAAGGAAGGCTGGACCAGAATGATCAGTGCATTTGAATTTTTCAAAGCAAATAAACACACACGCGCGAATATTAACTAAAATGTGCAGTTTTCCCCCCTTCTGGGTGGAAAGAAGTCAAGCTTTTGAAAAGTCCAGAGATTTAGGTGCTTAACTTGTCAAAATCTGTATTTATGCTTGTATTAGATCCTACATGAGAAAGCAAGATTCTTTTTTGCGGAAGGTAGTAGAAAATGGGGACGAACAAACACGAGATGGACTGACTCCCTATGGAAGCCACAGGATTGGGTCTGCAGGAACTGAGCAGGGCAGTTGAGAACAGGACACGTCTGGAGGTCGCTCATTCACGGGGTCAGCGTGAGTCAGAGGGGACTTGGAAGGCGCACGGCAGCCACATTTCGAACGGTGCTTGTGCTCATTTCCCCCCCCCCCAAAAAAAAACAAATTTCCTAGCACTAAGGGGTTTTATATGGCCTCCACAGTTTGCATCCAGCAGCCCGATTCTGATGCTTTCGACGGAGCCGGCTGCAAACCGGGTAAAGCTCTGGCGGTCATAAAACGCCTCCGTTCCTCCAACCAGCCTGAAGGATCCTCTTTTTGGCTATGACAGACCGAAACAGCTTAGCCGCCTGGAAATCGACTGGAAGCTTTTTTTTTTTCCTTCGGAGGAAGGATAAAGTTAGAGAAAGTTGGGTGAGTTTGGGGGGGGGGGAGGAATAATTGCTATTATTTCGATTTTTTTCAAAAAAATAATTCTGAGCGGCGGGCAAGGAGTTTGTGCAAACTGTTGCCGAGTCTCGGCGGGCGACCGGCTCAGCTTTCCTTTGCACAAGGCTCCGGGAGGGTGTGTCAGTCTGAAAAGAGTGGTCTAAAAATAGCCCAGGACCGCCGCAGGGGCGTCCGGAGTGTTAACAGCGGTGCTTAAGCCTCTCGAGGCCCAGAGAATGGGATCAATAAGCCGCTATTTGCATGTGAATGCCAGGTGTTTTTTTTCTCCCCTGGCCGAAACCAGTCACTCCACTCTGGCCAGGGAGATTATAGAGGAGGAGTCTTCATACCAAGCTTCAAGCTATTCGGAATTGTTTTGCATTTGTAAAGGTAAAGGTTCCCCTTGACAATTTTTGTCCAGTCGTGTTCAACTCTATGGGGCGGTGCTCATCCCCGTTTCCAAGCCATAGAACCAGCGTTTTGTCCGAAGACAATCTTCCGTGGTCACCTGGCCAGTGCGACTTAGACACGGAACACTGTTACCTTCCCACCGAGGTGGTCCCTATTTATCTACTCGCATTTGCATGCTTTCCAACCGCTAGGTTGGCGGGAGGTGGGACAAATGACGGGCGCTCATTCCGTCGCGTGGATTAGATCTTACGACTGCTGGTCTTCTGACCCTGCAGCACAGGCTTCTGCGGTTTAGCCCACAGCGCCACCACGTCCCTTTTGCATTTGTAAGGACGTGTTAATTCAGAGAACTGGCTGGATAGCTGGCAATGTATTGGTGGTTGGGAGTTCGATTCCCCCTCGTGCCTCCTGGGAGAAAAGCCAGCTCGGGTGGCCTTGGGCCAGCTGCACCCTTTAGTCCCAGAAAAAGGGAATGGTAAATCATGCCTACCTAGAAAACCCACACTTTTGTCAACATTTTAAATCAAAGGCAGTTTAGTTTATCTACTTGGGAACCCTAAAAAAGGGTCACCCGGAGTCAGAATCCCGTTGATGGCACATGATTATTATTAAATAAAGTCCCACCTGCTCAGGCATCTGCATCATGTAAGGACTGTGTAGCCTTTTCTAATTTTTTTCTGAACAGTTGGCACTTATGGTTCTTGTGGGTTTTTCGGGCTCTTTGGCCATGTTCTGAAGGTTGTTCTTCCTAACGTCTCGCCAGTCTCTGTGGTTGACATTGTCAGAGGACAGGAGTAGCACCCTGTGCTCCAGTGCAGTTTGTTTGGCAGTTGAGTATTTATAGCTGTTGGATCAGCTTTTGTCCTTTTCAGAAGATGGGTGATTATGGTGATCAGTGTGTTTTTGGTGTATGTGTATTGTTGTGATGAGGAGAGATTATTTGTCACTGTGATTGATGGGTGTCGTTAGCTGGTCTTTTGTGTGTAGTGATCACCGCTCCTTGTGGCTGGATAGAGTTTGTTGACCTTTTGCATGCTATATTTTTCAGTGCTTGGAGCCAAGTTTTGTTGAATTTCAAAATGTCTTCTTTTTTGTTGAAGTTCTACTGGGGTTGTGGATTTCAATGGCTTACCTGTGCAGTCTAACGTAATGATTGCTGATGTTGTCCAGTATTTCAGGACAGTACTGTATTTTGAAATAGAATTTCATGTCCAGTTTGTTTTAGGGCATGTTCAGCTACTGCCAATTTTTCTGGTTGTTTTACTCTGCTGTGTCTCTCATGTTCTTTGAGTCTGGTGTGGATGCTTCATTTTGTGGTTCCGATAAATACCTGGCCACAACTGCAAGGTATCCGGTATACTCCTGGAGTGGTGAGGGCCAAACAACTCTTGGCTTGACACCGGTGATGAAATCAGAATCACAAAGACGAAATAGGTCAAAATAGATATTTTAATCTGACTAATTATTGTTACAAGTATGCAGGCTTTCAAGTTACACAGAATTCTTCAGCAAGAAAGATGGAACATGGTTTCTCAGCCATACACAGAGCAGGATTACTAGTTAACATGAACGCAAACATAGGTAGCCACTTCCAGTCCAAACTAATAACATCCAAAAATGTCAGCACTTTGCTGTTCTTGGTAATCTTTTCAACGCCTCTGTTAACTGCTTTTCAACTGAATGAGTGCTCAAAGTGACTCATATAATTTTTTTTAAAAAAAATTCTCTGCAGATTGAGGGGTCCTGGCTGCTTTGCTGTTACAGTTCTGTCCATTTCCTTCTGTGCAATTTAAAAAATAATACACCCAAGCACCAACAGGAGGCAGCTGAGCTGAACAAGTGAGGGCTCGCTCCTTCAGTGCTGTCTTTACAACCTGCAAGAGCTTTATTTTTCCCTTCTCTTCTTGGGAGTGTGCTGCTCCTCAGAATTACTGCACAAGCACACGCGGGAAGGAGGGTGACCTGCCCACCCACACTTTTTGTTGCTGTTTTAATCCCAAGAAATGGTCGACATGCAATGGCCGTTGTATGACTTCCTGAAAGAGGAGGGAGCCAGGTGGGCGCCCCAGCCTCAGGGGGGTGGGGTGGGGTGACTTTAATAAAGGGGGAAAGGCACTCGAGAGCAGAAAAGGGAGGAAGGGGGGAGAATCAGAGAGGTTGGCAAAGCAGTTGAGCATTTCCCTTTGTCAAGTTAAGATGGAGCCGAGGGGGGGGGTCCCTTCTGCCTTGAACATAACAGGGAGTGGGGAAGGACGGGACCCAAAGAGAGGGACTTATTCCTTAGGATAGTGCCTGGAGAGGTAGACATTTTTCCCATCGTACTCCGAAGTGGTCAGGCACTTCAGGAAGAAGTGCCCGAGGTCGTGTTTGGAGATGATTCTGGAACCACTGGAGGAGTCGACAGTCACCGTGTAGTCGCCTGTGAGAGGCTGGTCACCTGGAAGAGGAAGATGGCACGGATGAGACAGCCAGGAGGGGGCACAAAGGAAAATGTTTCAAAAAAGGAAGCCATTGTAAAAAGCAACGCAGAACAGAAGGGAGACCGCTTTGCCTCTGGCCAGATGTGCGGAAATAAAACTGGACTTGCAGAAGTTCAGGACAGCAGTCTTGAAAGCCCCTGGAAGCAAGATTTCTCCCTCATTCTGCTTCAGAGGAATTGCCCATGACCACAGAACCCCAGAAGTTCTCACAATGGCCACAGTTCTTCTGAACATGGGCAGAAGGCCCACTAGTCTGGGAGCAGAGCACCAAACCCATCAGTCACCGGATATGGCTGGCAGGCAGGGCTGAGCATCAGCGCTTTCAATTGTTCCCAGATAGCAATCCTTGGCCATGAGAAAAGTTTTTGCAACTGTTTAAATAGGGAGAGCCTGAAGCCAAGCCAACCGGGCCCAGTTGGAACCAGGCCTGCTCTGAACTCAGCCCCTAAAATGCTGCCCCCTCCAGTCAAACACTGTCTTAAGACCCACATCACATTCAGAAGGGGCCGTTCAGAGTGATAAGGCATGCATTTATTTGTAAACAGCCTTTGGAGGATAAGGTGCATGTAACAAAGTTACTTTTCAAAAGCAGACTAAGGAGCAAGAAGGAAGCAATGTTGCTGATGAAATGAGCAATATTTTCTAGTTCCTTTCTCATGCTACTTTTTAAGGGCATGCTGAAGGTCCACCCACTGGAGGCCAGCCTGGCCCCATCTTTGCTGTCCTTCTGCAAGCAGACAAAATACCTTTCTCTGCAGGCTAGCTTTTCCTGAGTAACCAGCTGCTAGAATTGGGTTTCTAGGCAAGCTTTCCCTGAGTAACTGGCTGCTAGAATGGGTTTTTTTTTTTTTGAATGGATGGTTGCACTTTATTGCTTTGAATGTATTTTGGTGTTGCTTATGTTTTTGAGTATTGCATTCATTTGCTATTTTTAATATGGTTCGCTTGCTTGCTTGTTTATTTAAAATATTATTATCCCAACTTTCTTCTTAAAAAGAACCCTGTAGTTGGTCCTGAGTAACTGGCTGCTAGAATGGGTTTTTTTTTTTTTGAATGGATGGTTGCACTTTATTGCTTTGAATGTATTTTGGTGTTGCTTATGTTTTTGAGTATTGCATTCATTTGCTATTTTTAATATGGTTCGCTTGCTTGCTTGTTTATTTAAAATATTATTATCCCAACTTTCTTCTTAAAAAGAACCCTGCAGTTGGCTCAAATACTCTCTTCTAATTGTTATAAGCCACACTGAGTCCTTTTTAAGGAGGAAGGCAAGTTAAAAATATTTTAATTCATTCATTATTCCTTCAGGTGTCACATGGCTGTATATTGATTTTACTGTGACATACATGTACAATCCAAACTGCCAGGATGGCTGGCACTGGAGTACGGCTCAGGCTAGCAGGACTAATGGTAAGAGAAGGGTCAGCCTGCCAGCAAGCTGTGCTCCTTGACCGTATCCAGACAAGAGCTTCAGAGCAATAAGGACCAAGAGGTGAGGCTTAGGATCCCATGGCTAGACCCCAAGCCCATTTCCTGAGACGGTCAGCCTGTGCATATCAGCTCAGATGGTAAGAGAGCCAGGAGCCTTACTTGCAATGTGGGGCGGCATGACATAAACACAATCCAAGCCCGACTCCTTTAGGATCTGCTGCATCCGGATGTGGTCCTCCGTCACCGGGCGCAGCTTGGCAGGCACCTTGTCCAAATCCCACATGAGGAAGGCTACCAGCAGTGACAGAAAGAGAGCAAGACTTAGCCACCGTCTCTCCTTTCCTGGCATGCTCTCTCTCTCTCTCTCTCTCTCTCTGTGAAATCCCATCTCTAGGGTTGAAGCCCTTCCTGCTGTTTTCTTGTGGGGTGCCTCAAGGAAGGGGAGTAGAGGCAGCTCCTGCACCTGATCTCAAAGATCTAAGTGTCAAACCCACATGGGGACACCATCCCATGGTTCTCCCCCCCCCAGCCACTCTCTCTCTCTCTCTCCCTCTTACACACAAATCCTCCACCACCCATAGATTCGAATACCTGACAGGCAAACAACCACTTTGCGGATGCCGTGAGATTTCATGGCGGTCACGATGTTCCGGGTGCCTTCAGACATCATGGTGGTGGGGCCTGGAGGGTAAGAGAGGGGAGGATGGTGTTAATAAAGGAAAGGAGTTTTAAAGCACCAAAGGCCAAACCAGGAGCCGAGGGCTCAGCAAAGCAAGGGGGGGGCAAATGCCGTCTCTCGTACTGAGGTCGTTGCGAGTGCCCAAGATGACAATGACGGCATCCTGGCCCTTCACCGTCCGGTCGACATCCTCCAGGTTCAGCACATCTCCCACCACCACCTGCGCCGGCTGGAGCTCCAGGGGGAGCCGGACCGGGTCCCGCACCAGCACCGTCACCCGGTAACCTGGAAAGGAGAGAGGGAAAAATGAGGTCAGGGTGGCATCCGGCAAGCAGGGATCTCGTGGCCCCTGGCTTGACAAGAGTTCCCATAATCCCTCACCACTGGTTGTGTTGGGAGGGAGGGAAGGAAGGAAGTCCAGCTTGTGGCTGTTGTGGGTTTTTCAGGCTCTTTGGCCATGTTTCGAAGGTTGTTCTTCCTAACGTTTTGCCAGTCTCTGTGGCCGGCATCTTCAGAGGACAGGAGTAGCACCCTGTGCTCCAGTGCAGTTTGTTTGGCAGTTGAGTATTTATAACTGTTGGATCAGCTTTTGTCTTTTTCAGGAGATGGGTGATTATGGTGATCAGTGTGTTTTTGTTGTGGGTGTATTGCTGTGATAAGGAAGGGCTGCCTTTGAGGCTGATGCGGAAACTTCAGGTGGGGCAGAATGCGGCGGCCCGACTCCTTACTGGAATGAGAAAATACCAACACATTTCTCCAACGCTGGCCGCATTGCATTGGCTGCCCATCTGTTTCCACATCAACTTCAAAGTTTGAATGCTTACTTACAAGGTCCTAAACAGTTTAGGACCTCGATATTTGGCGGAACGCCTGCTTCCACCAAGGTCTACCTGGATCACCCGCGCGAGTCAGGAGGTGAGGCTGAGAAGCCTGACGCCGAGAGAGGCCCGAAAGGAGAAGACACGAAACCGGGCCTTCTTGGCGGTGGCTCCTCACCTCTGGAGCAATCTCCCTCCGGAGATTCGCACGGCCCCTACGCTGGGCATCTTTAAAACCCAATTAAAAACATGGATGTTCATTCAGGCCTTCCCTCCAGCCAATTCTTGATTTTCTTTTTCTTCTTTTTCCCTATTTTTTTATTTTATTGTAGTTGTTTTGTATTATTATGTATTTGCTTGTTGTTTTTATTGTCTCATGTTATATTGGAAGCCACCTAGAGTGGTCCGGTGGTCCAGATAGGCAGGGTATAAATAAAATAAAATTAAATAAATAAATAAACAAACAAACAAACAAACAAACAAAGAAACAAACAATACAGTACAAAACAAATACCTGCACCTCTACATTTGACCTGGTGCTCTTCACGCACTTTTTCAACAGTTCATTCCTTGTGAAAGAAATGTCTTTCCTTCCCAAAGTACCATCTTTACTTGGCAGTTTAGCCACGCTGGCCTCCTCCCTGGCCGACTCCTTATTTGCTAGTCTGTGCTGACCATTTTAAGCCAACTTCTGTTACAGGCAATTTAAACGGATTTGCCCCTCCTACATTTCAGCTTTCTTTCAACTAATCTCATTTTCTTGATTTTTTTAAAAATCTCCTTTGGAAATCAAACAGGCCTGTGTTGGACCTTCTTGGCTCTTTCCCCATTTTGAATATGAGAGCACCAGCGCCACCGTTCCAAGGCATTTTAAGAGGAACACTGTGTGGGATCCCAAGTGCAGGCACCACCTCTTGTCTTACGGATTCTGTGACTGATTGTTCCAAAGGACAAACTTTAATTGCATTTTAAAAGTTTGGAAAGGAGCCCGGATCAGGGGCCCAGTCATAGGAACCACAGTTATATTAGGCAAATGGGCACCAGGTTGGGGGGGGAGAGAGGAATCTAAGGGGGGGAGAGGAAGCAGGGTGAAAGGGGAGAGGAGGTGGGAGGAGGCCCAGCCACACCCAGAGGCCCCACTTTGAACCACAAAGCAAGCTTCCCCCAAGTAGACCCCCAAGGAGTGCCTTCACCAGCTCACAGCGGCACAAAACAACATCCCTCGCTAGAGGTTTTCCCTTAGAAGAATCTCAGGTGTAAACAACATCTAATGAAGCCCATACAGGGCTTGCCGACCAATCTGGGGGGTCCATGGTGGCCGATGCCCACTGCAGTCTGGGGAGGGGGTGCAGAGGCCACGGACACGAAGATGGCGCCAAGGGGTCACCATAAGCAAAACCCGCTCGGTCTGGTTTGCGGACCAGCCTCTTCTCCTGTATCCCACCCCCCAAGGACTGGGACAGGAAGGGGGAGAGAAAGCAGGCAGGGCATCCAAATACGGTAGTAGAATGATCTCTGGTCGCCCTGTTGCCATTTTGTAGGTGGCACTAAGAGCGCTCCCTCCCTCCAGCAGCCACTGGATCCCAACCCTTTTTTATTTTTTTGCTTTCCGCAACCCCGTAGGCCTGAAGAGAACAAGAAAGGGGTGGGGGGGTGGCATGAGTCCTAGCAGCAGCCACAGGGCCCCAGCCAGAGGAGGGGGACTTCCCCTCCGGGACTCAGCTCTGCCAGCTCTTTACAGGTGGAAAGATCGGCCCTTTATTCTGATAATGATCACCTTAGAACTGCACAGCTGGAAGGGACCCTGTGGATCATTGAGTCCAGCCCTTGTCAAGGAGGCCCCCCCCCGTGGGGGAATCAAACTCCCCACCTCTGGCTCTCGCAGCCAGTGGCCTAAACCACTGAGCTATCCGGCCGTCACCTCTGTCCTCAAAGCTCAAACATTAACTCAGGGCAACAGGCTTGCCCTGCAGCCCACCCCACCCCACCCCTGTTCCACCTTCTGGGCTCCTTTGGCTTCGCCTGATAAGGCCCCTTCTTCTTATCTCTGCCGCTCACACACAGTGGGCGGGTCTGCCTCTGGTCACAGCTGCCTTTCAGTGGGTCCCTGCAGGGGATACTGCTCCCCTCTTTCACGCACCCACGCCGGGTCTCAAAGCGGGTTGAAATAGGCCTCTGCGCCCCCCCCCCCGGGACAAGCCACCAGCTTGCTTAAGACCCAGAGGCCCTCCCGACCCCAGGATTTGGGCTGTACAGGCCCACTCTGCAGGGTTGTTACTAAAAGGAACGCCGCCGCTGCGGGCCAAGGGCTTGAAATATTACTATGAAACCGGATCACCAGCTGAACTTCCTTCGTCTGGCTCCCCCGCCCTATTCAGGGCACCCACCCCACCAAAAAGACACGGCCTTGGAGGGGCGGGGGAATCCTGGCTCCAAGCGGGGCGTCGGTGCCTCGAGCTGCTGCCGTCGTCGGGGCCAGTTGGGGGGCCGGGGAGGCACCGAGGGGGCCACGTCGCCAGGGAGCGCCTTCCCGCCCCGGGCAAGAGGGCAACCGG